GGTCCTGCTGGTGGGGGGTGGGATAGGCCCACCTAAGCGGTAAAATAAGGAAAAGGAGAAGCGGGACTATCATAATGGAGTTAAGTTTGCCAGGTACTCGATGCAGGATAAGCAGCGTGTAATTAAGTTATTTGAGGTAGGCCTAAAAACTAGTTTCCAGAAAGCACAATCAGGTCAATAAAGGCAGAATTTGTATCATTTGGAGGTTATAAATGGGAAAATCAGAGGTTGGTGTAGTGTGGCCAGTCTGTTATTTTTCCCATTAGTTTATGTACAGTATTTGAATTTGGCGCAATTTTTCCAGTCTATATTACTCGTGAAATACAAGGTCTTACTGTACATAAATATGGCATGTGGGATAGAGGGAGAGTAAAAAAATATTTGGAATAGTCTGTTTACTACAGTACATGTAGAATGTATATACAGTGGTCCCTCGGTTAACGAACACAATTCGTTCCAGAAGGTCATTCGTTGACCGAAACCATTGTTTCAATGGGATTTTGGGTAATTGGTTCCAGCTCACTGAAAATTACATACAAATATAAAATAAATGCAGTAAAGTACACTTACTTTGAGGTGTGTATGTAGAAGGCTCCTGGTTGATGATGATGATGATGGGAATTAGAAGTGGGGGTGGAGGAGAAAGGAGAAGAGAAGGAAGTTGGGGTGGAAGAGAAATCCCCCCATGCTTCATGCTGTCATTTCACCCATAAAATTTTAAGTTCACTTGGTGTAATTCAAGATTATTTTCTTTAAATCAACACTGCTCTATACATGTGTATTGTCAATATAATAAATTTCAGAATGACCAACAATTGTACTGTAAAAATGTAAAAGTAATTTATATTCAAGAGAGTCTCAAGCAAGATGTTACCTCTACTGACCAGAGATACAAACTGACGCCTGTTTGGTGAGTTGAGTGGCTGTTTGGCGCACCAAAAACTAGTTTCCTGTACTTCAATTATGTTAAATAATTGTTAAAATGACTAAAAATTTTAATATAAGATTAGGAAAATTATTGAATAGTACAACCTTCTTAATATTTACTCAAATGGGAAAGAATTTAAGCCCTAGAACCGATTACTGTATTGGCAGACTAATATTCCTGCTGGTGAGCAAGCGAAAACATGTTGAGAGGAACTCGTTAACCAAATTTTTTTCGTTAACCAAATTGAATATTCTTATGGAAGGTAATTCGTTAACCGAAATTTCGTTAACCGAGGCGTTTGTTAACCGAGGGACCACTGTATAGATAATAGTAAGTAATTTTATTGTAATAATACATGTACATCACTACAGTACAGTATAGGGAGACAGGATAGTAGGAAAATAGACTTGTGATGACTTATTCCATTGAGTCCTGAGGTAGGTACTTATTATCTCTTTCTCTGCAGTACATAGTAAAGGTATTTGTTAATCTGCTATCACACTGTACAATTAATGTGAAAGACTTATAACCGTAGTGAAATTTGGAATGATTATTATCATGTGGTCTGAATAAGGTAAATGCATGAACAAGGTTATAATCGAGATATATACTGTACAGTAGACCCATGCCATTCGCAGGTTTGTGATTCGCGATAAGCAGATAGCGGCTCTGGTGGCTAGCTTGTGAGCCTTTTTCAGCAGCGCAACGAGTCGCCCCACGTGCCCATGGCGTCTCGTCTCCCTGTGTTTGCGCTACCCAGTACCTGTGACCTAGCATCTCGTGTTGTCCTCTCAAAACTTGTGTTTCTTTGTGAAAATGGCCCATAAAAGACTGCCTAGTGTCAGTGCTAGTAATGCTAGTGGAGTGAAACGTAAAAGGAAAAAGTCAGTGATGACCCTGACAAAGAAAGCTGAATTATTAGACAAGTTAAAAGAGGGGATGAGTGCTGTCGTGGTTAGTCGGTTGTTTGGTGTGAATGAATCCAAATTGCGGTATATAGAGAAGAATGAACAAACAATTCATGATTCTGTTCAAGCGAGTGCTCTTACAAGTGGCGGAGGTTGTTCGTGACAAGAACATAGTGAAAACAGAGAAAGCACTGAACATATGGATTGAGGACCAGCATCGCAAAAATGTTCCGATCGACAGCAACGTGATTCGTGAGAAGGCTAAAAGTCTTTATGCTCATTTTTACGAGTCAACAGGTGGTGAAGGGGCTAGTGCAGTGACTGAACCAACTTAAGTGCCAGTAAAGGTTGGTTTGAGAGTTTTAAGAACAGATTCTCTCTCCATAATGTGAAGCTGACTGGGGAGGCTGCATCAGCTGACCACACAGCAGCAGGTGCATTTCCTGCTACACTAAAGAAAATAATGGAAGGGAAAGGCTATAGAACGTAGCAAGTGTTTAATGCCAATGAATCTGGTTTATATTGGGAAAAAATGCCTGGTAGAATATACAGTTGCCAGCAAAAGTCCTCCCACAAACTTGCTACACAGGGCTGTGGGAGAACTTTTGCTGGCAACTGTACATAAACAAGCAGGAGAAGCATGCCCCTGGGCTTAAGGCAGCCAAGGACAGAGTGACGCTCATCTTCTGTTGCAGTGCAGCTGGCCACATGATCAAACTTGGCTTGCTTTAACGCTCAGCAAACCCTAGGGCTGAAAAGGGAAAAACAAGAACCTTTTGCCATTTTTTTGTCAGTCTAACAAAAAGGCATGGGTAACTGCAAGCATTCCTCGATTGGTTCCATAAATGCTTTGTCCCGGAAGTGGAAAAATACCTTGCTTCGATGAAGATGGAATTCAAGGTATTACAGTAAGTCCTCGTTTAACGTTTCCCCCGACAACGTTATTTCGTTATAACGTCGCTACTCTTCAGATACCCATGATTTGGACTGTTAGTATCTCAAGTATACAGGGATGAAAAAATGTGCCTGACAGTCTAGGGGAGAACTTGGGACTCATAACAATTCAGATTCGGTCTCAGTATTGTTTGGTATTGCAAGTGCCACTGCATGTTATGACCATCAGGTCTTAAAAGAAATATCCTATTTCTGGGCTGTCACCAAGAAGGTCTATAAAAGGAGAACTAAAATTAAACAATTTACTGATAAAGATTAAAACTTACAAAGTAATACAAAAGAAAAAAAAGAACACAGCGAAGTCCCAGAGGAGCAGCCAACCTAGGCGGGGAGTAGCTTGTGGCCAACTGGCTCACACCACCCTGCCGGCTTCCCACCAAACTTTGGGAGTGGCGACAGGAATGTTTCGAATAGAGGTGAACCAGGGTTGTTCGTAGTTTCTGCTTCGAGACTTGTACAGAGGGGATAATGACTCCCGGGGTCGTAACACGGATTATGTCCCGCTGATTCGGTATAACGTCGTCAGCCTCATCATGGACTTCTTTGTACGGGGCATCACCCTTTCTCACCCAGTCAGAGCAGGAGGAGGAGCCACCCTCCGGGTATCAGTAACTCACCACCCTCCTCCTCTCCCGCCCTCCTCCTCTCCCGCCCTCCTCCTCCTCTCCCGCCCTCCTCCTCCTCTCCCGCCCTCCTCCTCCTCTCCCACCCTCCTCCTCCTCTCCCACCATCCTCCTCTCCACTACCCACCACACACTCGCTACACCTCCGCCTATCAGTGAGTACAATACAAAATGATTTAGTTTATTTATCTTTTGGGATGTATGATGTACAGGGGCACAGTATACTACTTTCTTTAAAATTCCATTGAATTTATGTATATGTACAGTAATGTATTTTATGGGGCAAAGGGAGGCTGGGGAACGTAACTCCCATATTTTATCTATTTCTTATGGGGAAAATTGATTCCGTTAATGTCGCGGTTTTCAGGAACGGAACCACGACGTTAAGTGAGGACTTGCTGTATTATTGATAGACAATGCACCAGGCCACCCAGAAAATTTGCAGTTTAACCACCCAGGTGTAGTGGTGGTGTTCCTACCCCCTAACACTACTGCTCTTATTCAGCCTCTCGATCAGGGTGTAATATGCACCTTCAAGGATATGCACCTTCAAGGCATATTACACCTGACGCTCTTTTGGTCGTATCCGTCGTGCCATGGACACAGATCCTGACCTTGATGTTAGCAAGTGTTGGAAGGAGTACAGCATTGCGGACTGCATTACCAACATCAGTGTAGCATTCAATGAACTCAAACCAGAGACAGTGAATGCTTGTTGGCACACCTTATAGCCTGAGTGTGTGAATAACTTAAAGGGATTTCTGTCCATAGTAAAGGATGTGAATGACATTGTGAGTGTTGCACGTCAGTTGGGTGGTGAAGACTTGGAAGAGCTGGTTGATGGGCATGGAGAGAAACTGACAGAAGAGGATTTGGAAGAGTTGGTAAAAAGTGCCGAGGAAGATGAAGAGGAAGAAATTATGGAATTGCAACAAGAAGGTTGGTGCTTGGACAATTTTGGTGAACTATTTCAACAGGTAAAGATAGTAACTGATTTCATTGTTGACCACGACCCTTCCATGGAACGGAGCCTTAAGATGGTCCGAGGAATCAACCAGGTATTGTTTCCCTACCAGGATATGTTTAAAGACCTCAGAGCAAAGAAGAAACAACTACCAATTACCATGTTTTTCAAGAAAGAACCAGCTACTACCACTGCCACTCCACCCTCCTCCTCCCAGCCACCCGCCGCCTCTTCACCCACTTCCCGGCCACCTCCAGGTGATCCACCTATGCTTCAGTAACCAGATGTCTCCCGATGTACAGTGCACCACTTCATCAGGCTCCAAACTTCCACATGCGAATCTAAGTACAGTACAGTATTGTGACTTAAATTTCTCATACCGTACATAGTACAGTATAGGTATATATTTGTGCACTAAGGTATTATATAAGTTGCTATTCACAGTTTTGCCAATTCACACCATTTCTTGGAACCTAACTCTCACGAATGACAAGTGTTTACTGTACTGTAACATTAAAGGTTGAGAGTAAAAGGTTGAAATACTATTACGTACTGTAGAGTGTGTGGTTGAATATTTATTATGTTTGACCCCATTCCTGCACATTTTTTCTTTTTTGTTTCAGGTTTTTCTCGTGGGTAATGCTTCACTTTGTACCTCATGTCCTGGTCTCATTAGTGAGCATTCATGTCAGGATTGTGTGTGTAAGAATGATGATAATAATGTGAGACTAGTTTGATCCGGTTGTTGTCAGGTAATGTGTTATATTATGTTCAACCTGCCTCCTAACCAAAGAATGCTGGGTGCTGGTGACTAATAATGCATGTTATCCTACTTACTCTAACAATACAGTGAAGGAGTTTTCAAAATTTATTCAATGCTAACCATTGCCATTTCAGTGTTGAACACGTACATAAATCATTGTGTCCAGATATGGCAAAGACACATGATACTTTTCTAAAGTATCATGTATCTTTACCATGCTGTTTTATTGCAAAAATCACAAAGGCCACAAGATAGAAATACTGTACATATATAGTGGTCCCTCGGTTAACGAACACAATTCGTTCCAGAAGGTTGTTCGCTAACTGAAAATTTCGTTAACCGAAACCATTGTTTCAATGGGATTTTAGGTAATTGGTTCCAGCTCACCGAAAATTACATACAAAGTAAAAATAAATGCAGTAAAGTGCACTTACTTTGAGGTGTGTATGTAGAAGGCTCCTGGTTGATGATGATGTAAATTAGAAGTGGGGGTGGAGGAGAAGGGAGAAGAGAAGGAAGTGGGGGTGGAAGAGAAATCACCCCATGCTTCATGCCGTCATTTCACCCTTAAAATTTTTAGTTCACTAGGTGTAATTCAAGATTATTTTCTTTAAATCAACACTGCACTGCACTATATATTGTCAATATGTAAAATAAATTTCAGAATGACCAATAATTGTACTGTAAAAATGTAAAAATAGTTTGTTCAAGAGAGTCTCAAGCAAGATATTACCAGAGATACAAACTGACGCCTGTTTGGTGAGTTGAGTGGCTGTTTGGTGCACTAAAAACTAGTTTCCTGTACTTCAATTATATTAAATAATTGTTAAAATGACTAAAAATTTTAATATAAAACTTGGAAAATTATTGAATAGTACAACCTTCTTGATATTTACTCAAATGGGAACGAATTTAAGCCCTAGAACCGATTACTGTATTGGCAGACTAATATTCCAGCTGGTGAGCAAGCGAAAACATGTTGAGGAATTTGTTAACCGAATTTTTTTCGTTAACCGAATTGAATATTCTTATGGAAGGTAATTCGTTAACTGAAATTTCGTTAACCGAGGGACCAATGTACAGTAATCGCTTCCTCGTTCATATAATTTCTGATTTTTTAAAAGGCTTATTGGAGAAAAATATATAGTTCTGGCTATAATTTATAAGAACATAAGAGTGGAGAAAACTGCAGCGGGCCTATTGGCCCATCCGAGGCAGCCCCGTTTACACCCAACCCCTATCGCTCATATATCCATCCAACCTATATTTGAAGCTGCCCAGCGTGTTCGAGTTAATGATGAAGTTTGGTAACTTGTTCCATTCATCCACTACTCTCCAGTACAGTATTTCCAAACTAGTGTTTACCTATCTCATGCCTAAATCTAAATTTGACAAATTTAAAGCCATTGCTATGAGTTTGCTCCTGGTTGGATAGTTTGAGTACCTTTGTTTAACCCTGACATCAATTTATACACCTCTATCATATCACCCCTCACTATACACCTCTCGAGGGAGTGCAAATTAAGATGCTTTAATCTGTCTCTGTACTCAAGGTTTCTAATGCCTGGGATTAGTCCTCTTCTGAATGCTTTCTACAGATTCTATATCCATTCTGTAGTACGGTGACCAGAACTGAACTGTGTAATCTGAGTGAAGTCACAAGCGCAAGACTTGTAACTAACACTCCTTTGTATGAAACCAAGTACAGTGGTCCCTCGGTTAACGAACACAATTAGTTCCAGAGGGTCGTTTGTTAGCCGAAAATTTCGTTAACCGAATCCATTGTTTCAATGGGATATTGGGTAATTGGTTCCAGCTCACAGAAAAGTACATACAAAGTAAAAAAAAAAATGCAGTTAAGTACACTTACTTTGAGGTGTGTTTGTAGAAGGCTCCTGGTTGATGATGATGATGTGAATTAGAAGTGGGGGTGGAGAAGGGAGAAGAGAAAGAAGTGGGCATGGAGGAGAAGCATTTTACTGCTTCTTGGAAGGCGAGTCACCTTCCATAATAATGTCAGGAACCTCTGGACTGACAGATTCTCCAACAGGAAAATCCTCTCTCCTTTTTGAAGAGGAACGCTGAGGGGAAGCATCTTTCTCACTCTGCCTTTTAGAGAAGAAACTGTCAATTTTTTGTTGTGGGGCATTTCTCCTCCTGATCATTAGCTGGTTCTTGAAGGAGACCACTTTGTCCTCCACAGTACACAAAATTGGTTCTATTGTTTCCACATCAGGGTGCCTTGAAGCCAGTTTCCTGAACTTATCCCAGTAGTGAACAGCATCTTTCAAATCTGAAGTAGACATATGGTCATCACTTTCTCTTTCCTCCTCACCACTGTCAGCCTCTAACATCTCATCCAGTTGCTGCAAGTCATCAGGAGTAAGTTCCTGCTCATGAGACATAACAAGCTCTTCCACATCATCCTCCTCCACTTCGAGGACCAATGACTGACCAATGGACACAATCTCTGTCCACTCTGCTTCTTACTCAAATCCCTCAAATCCCTCAAAATCATGGACTGCTGATGGCCACAGTGCTTTCCTTGCAGAATTCAGGGATCGAATGGAGACTTCTTGCCTTGCTGACACGATCAATTTTACAGCCTCCAGGATGTTGTATTGCGTCTTCCAGAACTGTGCCAGTGATAGATCACTGGTGGTAGTTGCTGGCTGATGACACCTTCTGAATATTTTCTTCATATGCAACCTCTTGAAGTTGCTGATTACATTTTGGTCCATTGGCTGCATAATTGATGTAGTGTTGGGAGGCAAAAACAAAACTTTGATAAAGTCAAATTGAGCCTCCAAAGTGCTGGCAAGTTCAGGATCATGACCAGGGGCATTATCCAGAAGGAGAAGAGCCTTTAAAGGGAGTTTATTGGTGGTTAGGTAGCTCTTCACAGAAGGGCAAAACACCTCAACTGCCCATTCATTAAAGAGCTGTCTTGTTATCCATGCCTTACAATTTGACTTCCAATAAACTCCAAGTTGTCCTCTTACCACCTCTTGTTGCTTGAACACCCTGGAGTTCTCCGAGTGGTAGACAAGCATAGACTTCAGTCGGAAATCCCCTGAAACATTGGCACCAAGCAATAGAGTGAGATGGTCCTTCATGGGTTTATGCCCTGGTAAAGAAGATTCATCTCTAGTGATGAATGTTCTTTTGGGCATTTTCTTCCAAAACAGCCCAGTTTCATCCACATTGAACACTTGCTGTGGAAGATAATTCTTTTCACCCATCAGTTCCTTGAACTCCACTTCAAATTTTTCTGCTGCTCCTTTTTCTGCACTGGCAGCTTCACCATCCCAAAAAACTCTATAAATGTCACTTCTTTTCTTAAACTTGTCGAACCAGCCCTTGCTGGCCCTAAACTCTTCAAACACAGTTTCAGAAGAACTAGGTTGATCTTCCTTCAAATGTTTGTATATTTCCCTGGCTTTTTCACAAATAAATTCAGAAGAAATGAAATCTCCTTTCATTTGTTTTTCTTTAATCCAAATAAGAAGTAACCACTCTGGTAGATTTATCTCTCACTTTCACTTCTTTAAATTTTTCTTTCTGTGCAAGAATTGTAGACACAGTTGATGCCGACAAGCCATATTCTTTACTTAGTACATTGGTTCTAATGCCTCTTCATGTTTCTTAATAATTTCCTGTTTCTTTTGAATTGAAATTGCCTTTCTAGATTTCTTTGGACCCATGCTGGATGCAATACAGTAATTTCACCACTAAAATTTTAAGTTCGCTAGCTGTAATTAAAGATTATTTTATTTAAATCAACACTGCACTGTTGATTTAAGTCGTAAAAATACTGTGTTCAAGATACGCACAAGCAAGATGTTTCCTTCACTGTAAGCAGAGTTCAACAGACACTTTGGTGGGTGAGTGAAGTGGCTGATGGGTGCACCAAAAACTATTTCCCTGTACTGCATATATTATCAATATGTTAAATAAATGTAAAAATGACTAATAATTTTAATACAAAATTTGCAAAAATATTAAAGAGCACAACTTTATTGATATTTACTCCAGTGGAAACGAATGTAAGCCTAGAACCGATTACTGTATTGGCGGACTAGCCTATCAGCTGATGCGCAAACCAAAACATGTGTTCGTAAGGATTTCGTTAATATAATTTTTGCTCATTAATCGAATTGAAGATCCTTATGGAAGGTAATTTGTTAACCAAAATTTCATTAACCTAACCGTTCGTTAACCAAAATTTTGTTAACAGAACCGTTTGTTAACCGAAATTTTGTTAACAGAACCGTTTGTTAACCGAAATTTCGTTAACTGAATCGTTACTTAACCGAGGGACCACTGTACAGTGGGGTATGCTATAACGAACGGATCCTACTACGAATATTCCTATAACGAACGGTTTTACCTATAAAATTGAGAATGCTATAACGAACGCAACTCCTACAACGAACGCGGATGAATACGGGACTATTTCGCCTGACGCATGAATATTGTTGTACCGCGACCCACAACAAGAGCGTCAGGCGCCATCTTTGTCTCATTGTGTAGCCAGTGCACCACTGTTATTGTTGAAATTTCGTCTTTTGATGTGGAAATTCGCGTTATTTGTATAACTATTTTGTTATACATGTATACAATTGTAACAATGAATCGTCCAAAGTGAGTGAGAAAGCTAATAACCCTTGAAACTAATTAAGAAATTATAAAGAAACGTGAGAATGGAAGAAGCATTGCGAAACTTAGTGATGTATGGGATGGCTAAATCGACTATATGTACGATTTTGAAGAATAAAGAGGAGTTAAAAACTGTGTAAGTGGCTAAGGGAATCTTTAAACTTAGCAAAGCAAGGTGTAATGTGATTGAAGAGATGGAAAATTTACTCT